GTAAAAACAAACGATCTGATAAAAAACACGGACGGCAAAGCTTACACAGAAGTAATAACTTCTTTGGATACTGAAGTAGAAATTCTGGTACCCACTTATAATATACGACCTGCGAATCCCAAGGACAACGAAAATGGTAACGTTTTGAAGAATAATAACGATAAAGAAATTAATTCTGACTGCAAAGAAAAAGGAACTCAGGTACTCGTATCGCAAAATATACTAGGAAAAGGGGACGATTTCCAGATTCCCCAACCTTCGAAAGATAGCGGAATTTATCAACATGTTCACGCAATGTGCAGTGCGAATGATTCACGGATTCCTCTCAGTAAACGTTTAGGGAAGTCGCAAGGAAGTCTAGATAAAGCCTCTAAAAAATTTCTTCAATCCTTCTATCCCAACCTAGACGCTCCCGTCCAAGGGGACAGTTTCCAGTTTCCCCGTCCAGAGGAGCAATCGGGTACTAAATCGAAGGAAAAATTTTTTGCGGGATATCATAGATTTAAAGTAAATTCGACCAAACATCCTGAAGGAATTCCTTATCCAAGCTCTGATGCGTTAAATCAAAGGGACGATTTCCAGATTCCCCATGATTCTTCAAATAATATCCAGTGCGAAATCCGAGAGGGAAGTTTCCAAACCTCTCTAAGCAAAAGGGGTACGTTTCCTATTCCCCAAAGTTCTTCGAACCAGATAAGTAAAGAATTCGAGGCAATGTCCCAAGCCTCATGTAAAGATTCAAGGTCAAGAAATCCAAATAATGATTCACAGAATTATTGTAAAAAGTTAATTGGAAATTCAGAGGAAAGTTTCCAATCTCCTCATCCCGATTTGAGAAGTTCTAACCAAGGGATCGATTTCCAGTTACCCCATTTATTCTATAAAGAAAACGCGAATAAAAAACAAGGAGAAAATTTGCAAACCCCTATTGAATCAATAAAACAGAAATTGACAGAAAAAAGTAGAAACATCGAAAGGTCCCCTGAATTCTTAAAGGAAGTTAATAAATTAGACCATCTAGAACAGAATTTTACACATGCTATAGAAAAGATTACAGAAAAGGAAAACAAGAATCGAAAAGAAATATGTAAGTCCTCGTACGAGAATAATGAGACACATCAAATAAAAAGGGACAAGGAGAATGAAATTCGCGATGTCGAAGATAATATAAATCTTGCCGAAAGGATAAATGATGCACCAGTTGTTGATCTCCAAATTTCACCTAACTGTAATAATTTTTTACAGCCCAACAGTCCGGAGAATATAAAAAATATTAAACCTAATCAGTATGTCAAGTTGCATATCGCTCCGTTTTCAGATTCATCATTCACCAGTTTCCCTAGACAAAACTGTGACATAACCTTTGACTTAAACAAGGAAACGAGACTACATCACCCCGGGAAAACTCTTATTATCGAACCTGATAAAAGCACCAAGAATCTAGCTTTAAACGCTAATGTTCCCAAGATAAATCCAATCGACCTTTTTAACGATAACCGATTAGGCGAACTATTGACTCTGATTAAATTGGACTACTTAAATCCAGAAGAAACTGATAATGTAACAATATTGATTAAAAATCATCAAGACTGCTTCCAATTGCCAGGAGAACAACTTACCTCTACGCACGTACTGCAACATCAAATACCGACTACAGACGATTATCCGATTAACACAAAGCAGTATAGATTTCCTCAAATTCATAAGGTTGAAATAAATAAACAAGTTCAGGAATTACTAAATAGTGGTATTGCACGACATTCACAATCGCCCTATAATACTCCTATTTGGATTGTGCCTAAAAAAGAGTATTCCCAAGGCAACAAACGATGG